CAGTTTTAGAATGATGAACGGTGTTGCTGGCTTTCAGTAGGTATTCAACAAACCCATGCAGGAGGGAAACATAGCAGGGATCCTATTATACTTTGACAACAGTACTGTTGTTGTGGTGGTGGTCCGAGGTTCAAGCCTTACCACCGACACCTCCAGCCCAATTTGGAGCTAGCCAGCTTTGCTATCGTCCACTTCAATACCACGCCTAGCCTAGCCGGCCTTATGTGGTTCGTCTCTCCAAAGTCTCTTGGATAAGGTTACCGGTTTACATGAGTGACTGTGGAAGTTATCCCCATTCTGTGTAATAAAAAGCACACCTAGATACGTCTCCAGAAAGGGCGGGAAGACAATGTGCCTAAGCACCATTTGGCGCAAAAAGTCAATCACCTGAATCCACGGACCCAGAAACCAACGAATTTTCAATTCACTAATGTCATTCTCAGCTCCGATCCCATACACATAGTGACAACTCCTATAGACCACACCAAAAACATTCCTCCTTCCACCGTAAGAAGTTGAAATTCACATAATAATTAACCCACAATAGGTCCGTTAATCAGGTTGTGGCAATGCACCCACCCACATAATTTCGGAAATCTGGAAGCTTGGGACATTTTTGATAAGAACAAAATTATATCGGTTGGAACAATTCACAGGGGTGATTGTCATTTTAAACTCTTTGTTACGGGTATTATATTGTTTTGTAGTAGTTACCCAAAAGTTTATCTTTATTCGTTTCAGCTCCTGTCGTCCAGTTGTATGTTGAACAACGCATAGATACTGGGTGAATGTTTACTTTCTGTTCAACGGTCTATGCATTCGATCCACACAGTAAAAGTAATTCAATCAATCCTTGTGGATATCGTAATACAGACTTACCTTCTGCAACTGTATCTTCCACCACCAGTGAGAAATGACCCACATGATACTGGCGACCAACAAATGAGGCATGATGTGAACTGGCACCAATTCCAAAGTTATTGTAAGAATTTCCAGCATCATCCGAATCTACTTGAGCGAATTTGGCCAATATCTTTTTCATGATAATCGCAAATGGATCGTATCAGAGAACAGCTATATTCAATCTGGGCATTTATGTGAAATAACAGCAAATGTTTGATTGGAGCGAGATGAAAGAGGTTGGCGACCGAGCTGCGAAATGAAAAATTCATGGTTAAAATACATGTAAATAGATTTCTACAATGTAGTTATTACCCCAAAAAATTGTTCAACATTTAAATAAAAGATCGATAGCAAACAGCGTTGTTCTCGGTGATTTATCCGCTAGCTAATCTATGAGTCTTTTGGTCCGGTGAAGAAGCACTACAGAACGAGAAAAAATCGTCTTTGAATTCTATGGCCGAATGTCGGTCATAATTTGTCCATCACACATACGCACCTATCGGGGCCTTATGTGGTTCGCCACTCCAAGTTCCGGGGGCTTAGGTTGCCATTTCAACCACTGAACAGCAGGTCCTCGTGACTATGGGGTTTACCCCGTCTGCTGTTCATCACACCTAGGTGTGTAATAAAAAAATTGGTTCGGGTCGTTAAGCGGGATGGGGAGACGACTGCATCAAGTTTGATGCTGATCATGGGAAACCGTGTTCTTACCGTCCAGCCCACTCAGAACTGCTTGCAACATACCTGCATCTCCACTTAGCAGTACAATGTTGTCATCCTACTCCAGCTTAGAAAGCCTGAAATCTGGGAATATATCGATGCCGCTAACCTCGTACGAGGACGGGGCTGTTTCCAGGATCATATTCTGCAGCTATGAACTCGTACTGAGCCATGAAGACGCATAGCCCACAGCCGGCAAATGAGTGGAATCCGGTCAGGAAGGAAGTTCTCAGCACTGGTACTTGGTGTAATACCGACAGGGGCAACACTGTGGGCACCAGATGTAGAATCGATTGGCACACGGCGAGTGAAACATGAGGATGAGGTTGGATCTGAAGAACGCAGTGTCACAAACGTATCGGTATTTCTAAGACAAGACAAACGTTTAAACTGGAAATTTGAAAGGTGCCGGGGCAGCTTTTTGGTCTATCTGATGGTTTGCGAATATTGAATACGGTTAAGTGAAAAAGCTTTTCGTTTTATCGACCCTATAGCTTGACTGATTGACCTCCTCAGTTCAGTTCACCTTTACGACCATTAACCACGAACTTTCGTCAGCTGGTTTTGGTAGATGTCTTTTAGTCACCTATTTGAGCGTAAGAGCCGAATAGGAATATTGAGAGCCAATTCAAACAGAAAGATAGAGAATTCATATACACTACGGTGGCAAGAATATTGAGTAGATGCACGAAAGCCACTCTGGTGAAAAAGCGCTGGCTTCAGCTGCTAGTATATAAAAATCGCAAAATTGAAATGAACTTCTCGGGCAAACCATTCACAGCGAGAGACAGCACCAGAGTATGTGCGCTCGACAGAGTTGAAAGCCTCTTTCAGATCAAGGAAGATGGAAATGGTGGGTCTGCGAAAAGAATTCGGTGGAGAGTGAATATTTGGTCTATACAACCTCGGCTATGTTTAAAACCAGCCTGGTTCCCACGCGTGCACGTTCACGTGCGGCAGACAATCGACGGAGTATAATACCCGCGAGAAGCTTATAGATAATATTGACTGAATTGTATTGTCTTTTACGTTTGCGAGCACTGAAGCTTGCCCTTTAGTTAAAAAGCTATATACGCCAACCGTAACAGAGAACATGTTCAACGCTGAAAAATGTTTACAGGTATAGTTGCATTTCATAGCCATGGACGTCTCTCTTTTTATGAAGGTTATTGTTCCGTGATTTGTTTNNCATGCGGTTTGAGCCCAGAAGTGTATTCGGTTCCATACCACGCCTGACCTATCGGGGCCTTATGTGGTTAGCCACTCCAAGTCCCGAGGCTTAGGCCGCCGGTTTCCACCATTGAACAGCAGGTCCTTGTGACTATGGGATTCGCCCAGTCTGCTGTTCATCACACGTGGGTGTATAATATTCATAAACATAGTCCAAGAATAGGAAAAAATTCACTTATTACCCTCTCTTTGTGAATAAACGTGCAAGACAGGGAACAGAGAAATCTCGGTAAGCGTTTATACACGACGAAATTTAGCGGAAGTGACAGCTTTTGGAGGGGTAGGAACGAC